CCGCATTATGGCGTCCACCCGACCGGTCCATGTGTTTATTCGGTGAATAAACAATCGTGCGTGAAAGCTGTTGTGAGACTTGAACTTTGGAACCTGTTCCACCAACGATCCGTTTACCTGCAAATTACCGTGAGTGTCCCTACTTGAGAATAGAATAGTCTCGGGTTTGGTCGAGATGAATTTCATGCCGGCTAATCTGCATGCAGCAGGGAAGTCGTCAAGCTCACGGCTGAGGCATCATTCGACAACGTGGACATGACGAAATCATTGGCAATCAACAAATAATTCAGTTGAGTATTTCCAGATGTGTTGCTCTTTGTGACAGGGTTTCATCTGCTGATCTAATCAGTAAAAATTATGAGCGAAGGAAGATGACGATATACATCGTTGATTGAGGCAGAACTGGGTTCGTAAGCTGGTAGGCTTGCTTGAAGTTTCTGAAGACACAACTCTTTTGGGCCAGATTGACGATCTACGATCGTAGTAATTTTGATCAGTATTTCACTGACGTCAGCAAAACTGCCAGTAGACCACTCATGTATAAATCTGACCATCCGACATAGCGGTAAAACTTGAGGCGCGTTGAGGCCTAAACAAAAAGAGCTTCTTTCTGTCTCACGTTTATAGCCCATCTGGAAGCCACTTCAATAGCCAAATGGCAATTTATTCGAACAGGACACACACTGCTTTAACGACGCATCGGTTTTTCTGGAGGTCTAGCGATGGGTAAATTCTCTGACGTGCCGTCAAAATGACTGACCCGCCCGAAGGCCCGCGCAACACATAGGGAAAAGAGGTCTTTCGGCTCCAAAACATTACCACAGGTTCGGACAACAAAACGACCTTCGAAAATGAACCCTGTATCCATTGAAGAAGGTGCCTGAGACATAAGTCGAAACGTCGGCACTGATTGATCATCCGGCAGATCAGTTTGTTTGCATTGTGTATGAACAGAACGGTGTTTTTATAGTTTCCTGCAAGTCATTTTTGCAACAAGTAGATACTTTTGCAGTGCTGTGTTCTAGTTCACCAGATCTTATCATTAAAAGAAAGAAGGAAAGTTTTAGCTGCGAGAAGGTCGGTCTTTATGACACGTACGTGAGTGGGCTGATTCTAGCACCGTTGTTTTCATGAATTTAATGGTTAGGGCGCTGATCCATTCCATGTCACAGCCAGGAATGCCTTTCGCAGATTCGACAGAAACTATCTGACAGACACAGTGTGTATTTTCACGTTTCCTTCCAACTCATTTATCCAAGTTGTACT